GTGTGTGTGTGTGTGTGTGTGTGTGTGTGTGTGTGTGTAACAACATGTCTCATTGATCATTGAAAGTTATTTTAGTGGATTTTTTTTAGTAAGTGATAAATGAACGTGAATCTGCTATTAACCTTTGGATTCAATCCAATCCAAGATGGCTGCCACATCAAAAAAACTTAGCAAACACAAAAATGATCAAAAGAGACCATAACTCAGTCACTTTTACAGAAATCAAGCTCAAATTAGTTGAGACTTGTCCCGTTTTTATATTCAGAGAAATAACCTAAAGAGATACGATGTTAAATTAAACTCTGTTAGCAAAATATCTCATGAACCAATCAACATATCCTATTGACACTTTCAATAAATAATCATTGGATGTACACCTGCAACTAAATCACTTTTGGAGTCAATTCACTTGAAGATGGCCACCAAAGCTAACTTATTTTGGAAAACCCAAAATCAGTTCTAAGTTAAAACATGATGTTGACGGAGCCGAGCATCATTCACATTAATGTGACAGCTCAAAGTATCACATGGAACTGTTCATGTTATTTTCAAGATTAGACCAAAATGGTCACAATTATGTAATTTTTCCACAAAGACATGATTTTTATCAAAACTTTTAGTGATATGCATTCTTATGTTTTAAGGAATGTTTTTTTTTATGTTAATAAGCAGCATCTGGCCTGAGGCTATGTTTTCAATATATTTCCAACTACTTGTGCGTCGTAGTGAAGGTTGTTGTTATTGTGGACTTTTGCTCTCTTTCACTGTTTTAATTGCACACTGCAAACAAACTGCTTCAAACCCATCGATGCTAAAATAAAACTCGAGGGAACGCAGGCAGCTGCAGAGATGTAAACAGGTATGTTTTTTTTTTTCTTCTCCGAGGAGAAAAACAAAACACATTAGTCAAAGACAAACCACTCTTCCATGACAGCCACCCCGGGGACCTGCTGACAATCAAACTCACAATTATTTTAAACTGACTTCCAGGATGAAAATATTTAATTAGATCTATTTTCAGTTTTGTTTTTTAAATGTTTGCTTTTCTTAGCTATTTCTAGATATTATTAAATAGGACCAATAATTAAAGGGATCTTAAAAGGTAATCATTGCAAAAGTATAAATGTTAAAAAACGGTTGTTCTGAATTATCTTACAAGTACAGTTTAAACATTTTTACTCAAGTAGTTTTCCAGATATACTGAATGCAATTCTGAAATGAGGGTCCACACTCAATGTAAACAAAGCACTGACTAGTCTGGTCCTAATTTTTGCAAGTAAAAACAAGGTTTTCTGCATCCAGACAATTTTTTCATCAAAATTATAAATTTAAGAGCATAAATCATCAATATGAGAAAAATATTGTGTGGATTTTGTTATTTTCCAGTATTTATGACTTTTGAATGAGTGCCTTCAAAGTATTGTTGTGATGATGTTACGGTAAGACAAAGTGAACTAATTAGGACAAAGGTTTCTCCTAATTAATTTAGTTAGACAACACGTGCGCACATTGTTTCACAACATGCACACTAGATAAATGTCTGTACACACGTATGCTCTCCACTGCATGCCGCCATTAAGAAAACTCACAGCTTTGGCTTCTTAAAAGGTGTAAAAACCGACAGCTTGGAGTGAAAATTTTAATAGAAGTCTTTGGGTGTTAATCCTCCCCCTGAGAAAGTTTAACTTGCCAAATCATTACAAATTTTTTTTGGATGTCCCTAAAAAGATGTGCATCTATTTCTCAGACTATTTAATTAATGTGCAACAGCTACTTTTATGTAAAATAATTGTACTTACAAAGTGCCTGAAAGAAAATAAATCACAACTCTATTTCCCAGGTTGGTATTAGTGTCAATCCTGCAGGATTGGCTCCAAATACCGACCAAATCCAGTTGGAAACACATGTATTTTTAAAACTAGTCCACTCATCAGCTCCCAGTGTTCTTATTCCACTCACATACACTCCAAGTCACACAGGCTTTGTGTTATTTTGTGCAGTTTGAGGTTTTGCACTGTTATTTGAGGCATTCATCATTCATCAGCAGCAGGACAAGCTGCCAGATAAAACCGGTTAATATGGATCTCGTGTGCTCAAATTAATCATGCACACAAGAAAAAAAAATGCTTGCAGCTGCAGAAAAATGATCAATATTTAAATGTTTATCGTCAGAACAAACCTTTTTCTTGCAAGTGAAGCGTGGCATGAAAATGTAAGTTAGACATGATGAAATGTATTATGCATTTATTGGTGTTTCTCTTCAATATGCTGTTCTCTAACAATAATTCATGATGAGCTCTGGCTGATCCACTTTGAGACGGACACCATATGCCACTGCGTGCACCAGACTCTGCGAGGCCTCGCAAAGACTCCATGGGTTTAAGTCTTTTTTATCTCTTCTTCTTCCCCCTCCCCTCACGAATCAAGGTCATGGTTCTCTGTGACTCCGCACGGCCTCGCGATTCCTGCTGCACGCTGCGTTCTCGCCAAAGGCCGTGCTGTCTCAGCTTTCTGTCCCACATCCTGCAAGTTCTGCCCTCGCCCTCTCGACCTCCCAGGGCTCAACCTGTCAACCCACGTGCTCGTGCAGCATGTAGACAACGGGAGATACAGAGGGAGGATAAAAAATAAAAAACCACTGACAAAAAAATAAATAAAAGAAGGGGAGAGAGAAACTCAGAGAGAAAGAAACAGGAGTGGGCTGTGGAGCAAAAGATAGAAAATGATTTAGAGCAGTGAGTGGGGAAAGCCAAAGCACTCGAGATTGAAAGGCCTCTTCTTCTAATTTGCACAGTATTCATCACCTCAGAGGGCAGACACTCTCGTATCGCTTCCTATTCACTTCCTCACCCTTGGCTGCAGGTCAAAGAAAAAGGCAATTTTCCTTCGGTTTGTGCCCGAGCCGCTTCATTCCTCCCGGATAAACTGTACTTTTGAAATGTGCAGAAGTGGGGGCATTCATCACCGAGCCGTCTGACTCATTCTCCTTAGCAGGAAAAGCAAGAAGAGGCAAACATTTCTGATTAATAACTTTCTCCTTGTACAGTTTTAGACTTCTCGGGCAGGCGGGGGAAAAGGGGGGGGGGCATCACTGGGCAATCTGCCCATCTAATTCTCTCACGGCGCAACAGGGCAATGTGCCCACCTACAGGAGACGCAGACTGTCTCAGGCTGTCAGACTTTTATCTTGGAGTTCCACCATGCTGGGCCTGCCAATGAAGACACAAGGAATCTGTTATAAATCTCCACAACGCTCTCCCACACATCTTAAGCTGGGAAAATACAGGGAAACAGAACAACCAAAGTAATTAGGAGCTTTAAGTGGAAACATCACTACAGATGGAAAAAAATAGGAACATTAATAATTAAAGTCCTAGATTTATGTGAAGGAATATTTGAGAAATGAAGTTGTGGCCGTTTAGGTCAAACCTTAAAGGTGGCGTTATGAATAATCTCATATCATGGGATGTCAAGAGTATGCGTTGGGAATGACTCTCAGCTACTACAACAAAAAAAAAACTATGCTTTACTTTCTGCCCTCATCCATTAATGGCAGGAATAATCTTCATTGAACAGTTTCCCTCTTAGCCCTAAAAAAAAAACCCTTGTGCAAATAAAGCATTCTTCTCCTCTCCTGCATCAAAATTCCATCTCCTGTTGTCTGGCTGAATTCCTGCCTTAAACATCACTTCCACTTTAGAGAGGCGGAGAAGAGAGACGGCTGGGAGTAGATGGATGATGATTATTCAGGCTCACTCTCCCGTCTCTTTCACCTCTCTCCATTGATCCCGTCCCATCAGAGAGCCTGTAAATATTAATGAGGCCTTTGTTTTAGCAACCTGTATGAAGATCAGAGCACAGAACAATTGAAGTGTCTGGACATGTTTTTTTTTTGTGGGGGGGGGGGGGGGGGCATCCCCCAGCCCACTGCCTCGGGCTCCCTGTGTTCGAGTCAAGGTCAGCTCAAGGAAAACTGCTAATGTGTGAGACCTGATTCATGAGTCAAATATGCAGCAAACAGTGAAAACATACAGGACAGTTTCAGATTCTAATTAAAGCACTGGCATTCCTTGAAGGAATGCATATCACCCACTGCCTTTTTAGTCTAACAGCATCTCATGAAATATAATAGCTTTGATCAAACCTTAAAAATAATGTAACATGTGTGATCTTGTTCAATATGCAAGATACGTGTCAAACTCAAGCATGATAATATTTATATATACTTACATTTTTATGCTTTTACATAAAAATAAGACACCCCTAATATTATTAATTAGGGTTATCAAAATTAATTAGGGTTATTAATTAGGATTATCAAAAAAATAATGTAAAAAAGTGGATTATCTCAGGGTGAGCATGATTCAAACTATTGTTTGAGACTAAATGTTAAAATAATTATGGCACTTTCTCCATAACTTCAGTGAAATTGTTTTTATTGCGTACGTTTACCTATGGAATGCATTTAGTGGGATATTACAGTAAAAGCAGGCATCATGTCCCTGACAGGAGATATGGGGTGTCAGCTTAATATCGGAATTGGAAATCAAGTTTTGAAAATATCAGCATACGTATCAAATATCGGCAAAACATATATACATACATACATACATACATATATATATA